GGAAAAAGACTGTATAATTTACAGTGAATAACCGTAAATTGACATTCCCAGAATTTCCTGCGTTACATTTCAAATTTGATGTTTTTTTGTTGAAATAACTATGTTTCTTCTTAGTTTTTTCTTATCAGTTTTGTATATTAGGGTTGTATGTTACACCTCATGTTGTTAAATGAATGTTTATTGCATTATTTCAGTTTCATGTGTGTTACCGTGATGGTGTTTAGTGTTTGTGTGAATGTGCACCTTCTATATATGTTATTATTTAAAAGCTGATTGTGATGGGCTTTGGTTCATCATGTGACTTTCTCATCACTTCCTGCATTTGGTGGTTATCAGTGTATTACAAAGATACAAAACAGATTTCAGTACTTCAATAGGTTGGTATATTAACAGTATTTCAGTTAATGAAATTATGGTATTTAACTTAAATAAAGTTAAAACCGTAAAACCGAAAACGTTGCTACTGTATTTTTTACGGTATAATTCCGGCAACCACAGCTGCCGTTTTTTTACCGTAAATTTTATGGATTTTTTTTTACAGTGTATAGAAGAGTCAAGTTTTAAATAGGAAAAATATAGAAACTCTTTGGTCATTTTTGAGCGAGATGCTAACGGTCTAAACAGAAAACTCAACTGTTTAACTCTAGAGGAGTCCATTAAAAAAAAATAGCGGAGTGTTCCTTTAAAAGTTAAAGGCACGACGCTTTGAAACGTTCAGGTCATTTGCTGTAGTAAAAACACAGGTTTGTAAATGTTCATCTAAGCATTTGAACTTGTGCGAGACAATAAGATTCCTCAGACGAAACTACTCTCTTCATTGTGCAGAATGATTTTAGGTCATTAGCGCTTTCAAATATTCATACAATTATCTCCGATTTCCTCCTGTTTCGACTGTGTCCTGCCTCTCAGGCATTAATCAGAGCTTGTTTGATGTGTGTAATCCGCTAATGTTGTTCAGTACGTAAACTCTGCCAGGCTTTTATTCAGCGGACATTATCGTGTCTCACAGCTTTGACTCCAGCACTGCAATTACACCCTCAACTGCTCCCATTAATTCAACATGCAGGAATTTCTGAGAGCAAAACGGCTCTCTCTGCATGAGCTGTCAGACGATTCTGATCCGGGTCCAGCTAATGTCTGGAGAAGACGAGAATGTGTTCACAAGCTAAACTGGTCTGGGAACAGACTCTCTTGTCACTAAGTGCCACAGAAACTATGTTTCACTATATT